GGCTGAAAGAATAAAAAGGTAAGGAGAGAGAGGACAGCCTTGGCGGACACCCCTGTGGACCGAAAAGAAGTTGCTTGCCCAGCCGTTGTTCATAATACAGCTTTCAGTGTTGTTATAAAAGGTTTTAAACCATTGGACAATGGAAGGGCCAAATCCGAAAGAAATAAGTGCTTTCTGTATAAAAGACCATTCCAGTGTGTCAAACGCTTTCTCAAAGTCAAGGAAAAGTAGAAGTCCGGGAATATTTTTAGTAGCGGTGTAATTAACAACGCTGTCAATTAGACGTATGTTCTCTCCTATAAACCGTCCTTTTAAAAAACCAGTCTGGTCATTGTTTATCAGTTTGTGGAGATGGGTCTTCAGGAGGTTTGCAATCGCCTTTGTAGCTATCTCATAATCGCAGTTTAAGAGTGTAAGCGGCCTCCAGTTTTTGATATAGTAAAGTTCTTCACTCTTTTTGGGAATAAGTTTTATTATACCTCGTTTTTGAGATATAGACAGCTGGTCGATCTCGAAACCGTAATTTAAAGCTTCTAGCAGAGGTTTGGAAACATCACTCCAAGAAAATTGGTAAAATTCCGAAGGCAAGCCATCCGTTCCCGGGCTTTTGTCTGGTTCCATATCTTTCAAAGCATTGAGACATTCCAATTCAGTTAAAAAACCTTCAATGGAATCGCGTTCTTCGTTGCTTAAAACGGTGTCGTTCTATGAGAAAAAGAAGTCAGTTTCTGGAAGAATCCGGTCAGTTTTCAACTTAAAAGAATAAAGATCCTTGAAGAAAGACTCGAATTCCTGAAGGATTTCCTTATCTGTGGTTGCAAAGTCGTTTTCACTTTTCTTTAAGCGACTAATTGTTCCCTGTCTGTAGTGTCGTTTTTCTAGATTTAGAAAGTATTTTGTGTTTTTTTCTCCTTCATTGTGCCACCGGGTTCTCGACCGTAACATGGCATCCCTTGTACGATACTCAATAATTACTTCCATCTCACTTCTAAGATTATCAAGTTTTGACTGTAGCAGCGATTTTTGTGTGTCGCTTAGGGCAGTGTTTTCATCCAATTCTTTCTCCAAACCTGATATTTCTTTGTAAAGGATATCCTCGCGGAACTTAGTTTTGTAGTTTTTAGCTGCTGCATATGCAATCGATTTTTCTCTTACTTTCATTTTGATCATATCCCAGAGCAGGGCCGGATTAACCGAGTTGTCAGACTGGTATACGCTTTTTGTTTGGTAAATTGTTGCTTTGATTAAGTTCAAATATTCCTCCTCTTTCAAGAGCGAGGTGTTTAGCTTCCAAAAGCCTCTTCCTTTTGGGTTGTAGTGTAAGGCTATTTTAAGCAATATCATTGAATGATCGGTTTTGTACCCGGGCACAATGTCTGCCAGGTTGGTAAAAAAAATCTTACATCGAATTGATAGCCGTATATATACAGCCCCAAAATAGCAATCATCTTCGATCACATTTAAGAGCCATAATGGCTCTTGATCACAGTAGATTAGGCCTGGAAAACGAATTCTTGGAAAACAAATCAGGCCGAATTTTTGCGTTCGACAAGTTTACTCAACAAAATCTTGCCAACAACTCTGGGTGCGTGTAAACCAACATTTCATACTTTTCATACATCACATCTGAGGTGAAACAGTAATATGAGGCGCTGTTTATATCATACAGACCTCCGACAAAATGCAGTATTTCACAATTTTTGAAGACAAATTGCACCCATTCAATATTCAGAACCGTACGAAGCACGCGTGGAAATGGCTGGCTGGTTTGTTCATCGAATTACATTTCGCTTATGTTGAACGTGAGAAGATTATGCCTTTTTTTGGATAGTCTTATTAGTGCCGCGAAACTGTGTGATTGTGTGATTTCCGCAAGGTATTGACAAGTATGTGATCGCGTGGTTGAACTGCGGTTTGGCCAAAATATTCTGGGCCAGCCTTTAATACTGTTTCGTCGGTGTTCAGCTTAGCTGATTGTACCTTGTAAAAGCAACTCTCCACTTAGAAAAATTGGATCTAGGTCTAGTTTCAGCGGGCTCTAATGGCATTGAACCATAGGCCGATTTTGGCAGATAAGAAGGAGATAATTAATTTGTGCACTATGTTTCATTCAGGTTTTTGTCTATTCCATGCGAAATCTTGTTGTTTATCGGACGGAGAAAAAAGTTGTGGTTTTTGGTGTAAGCTGCGTAGCACGCTTGTGTTTGGGATAAAGCAAATTGTATGTATGTATGTAAATCTTTGTTTAAATACGGGAAATCATCAGTTAAGCTCAAGTTAAAAACTAAAACTAATAAATTACAACTGCTTTACATACCTTCTTGATATTTCGCTTAAAATGCTCAACGGATGCAGCATTTTTTGAGCTTTTGGGCAAGTTATTCCATAACATAGCCCGCTGTAAGAAAAGCTTCGTTTCAAATAATTGGCGCTTGGTTTTGGACAGGGTCAGCTTTCCCTCAGAGTTTCTTAAGTTGTAAGCAGAGTGACGCTGAGAGAAAAGACTTTGTAGATATTCAGGAGCAAGGTCATTCATGGTTTTATAGATCATCATTATTACATTAATGGACGGGTCCTTGAAACCTTTCCTGACACTTTCTTCCTTCGCTGGTTTTGCGATGATCCAGCATTACCTGTCGTTCGGAAAATAACCTAAAGCTGGACCAAGGGTGCTGAGAGAACCACACCACGTCCTAATTTCCGTAATGGAGCCAGCTCCACTAGCATCATCTGCAAACCAACATTGCTTCACACTGGACGCTGCTTGTAGACTCGTGATTGAAGACTAAATGCTTAAGGCATATAGACACATACCAAGCAGATCGCCCTGTGTTGGTCCTTCTGCTGACACGATCTCTTTCCCATCAGTGACAAATAGCTTAGCTGGCTGTCTGTAGGTATTAATAGCATTTATATTATAGAGCGCAGAATCTGGATGTTATGCAGTGCGGCTGCTCTGTTGAGTGTGTTGAATGCCTTAGAGGCGTCGACGAGCAGTACCGCATCAGTGTCATCTGATTCAAATATATATGCATGCATAGCGTGTATTGCAGCCTAGCTTCCGGACTTTTGTCCAGCTCACAGCTGGAGTGAGCTGCTGGCCTCGATAACATCATTCGTAGCAACAATCATTACACTCTTTTCACAAATTCTCCTTTAAACTTCCCCGACTCCTATTGGTCTAACAGCACCTTCGCCTTTATCCAGTGAAATCAGACGGTTAGCTACCATGGTCATAGGATCAATGCTTTGTGAACACAGAGTCCTTGTTATTGTGGCTATTGCCTCACACAGCCTTTTCGATGACTGTTTAAAGGACTTGCAAGCGAGGATTCTTCGGAAACCATTCGCGTCAACCCCAGACGGGCCTCCTGCTCCTTTTGTTCTCAAAGCCGTTTGCCTGACCATCTCACCGTTTATCTCCGTATACACAGATTCCGGATACTGCCCATCAATTGGCCCGAAGAGCAGTGAACCTAATTTGGCTGATTGAGATGTTTCTGTTTTAACTGCGACATCACCTCATCCGTTAACAATTGCATTACCATCGTTTCGTTTCCCCCAGTTGATCATAGATGGCTTGGCTTGCAAATAATAATAATAATAATAATAATAATAATAATAATGATGATGATGATGATTGTTATTATTATTATTAATATCATCATTTTTTTTTATTTTTTAAGAGAAACATTCACGCATTTTGAAAAAGACATTCCCTGGCAGTTGGGTGAGAGGAACTCACTAGACAATGAAGTACACAAGTTAAGGCTCGCTGAACTGGTAAGTTCCGCA